GGGGGTTAGGGTAAGGTTTTTGCTTTATTTTTACATTTTTCGATCACAGCACGATGTTTTTGTCGCGCTGTGATGACGTCAAATGCGCGCTTTCGTCGATCGCGCTTTTGTGGACCGCGGTTTTGACGGGTCACGCTTCCTAACAGGGAGGACAATGGAACGGCTTCCCTCCAGAGGTTTTGGGTGATTCATCACTGGAGGTTTTTGAGAAGAGACCAGGCAGACCCTTGTCTGAAATCGTATAGAGTCTCCTGCTTGAGCCAGGGGGGCTGGAGTAGAAGACCTCCAAGGTCCCTTCCAGCTCTATTCTACTCTACACCCCTCGTTCCCAGGGCTGGGAACTGGGGCTCCACATCCAACCTGTGGGGGAGGGGGGACCTCTGGGCACAAGACATGCAAAGCCAACACGGGGGTGGGGGGGCGGGGGGGCGTGTCTCCATGAGTTTGAGCCGGGCCACATCCGGGCGTTGTGCCAAAGGGGCTGCCTTGGGGCACGGCAGCTGCTCCTCTGGGAGTCCTTCGGCCCTTGGCGTGGGAAGGTCGAGTCTGATGCATTCAGGACAAGACGTGGGGGCGTCTTTCTTCTCTATGGCCCCAGAGAGCAGGTCTCTGTGCAACCGGGGAACTCGAACCACAGAGAAAAGGGACCAGGCCGGGCCAGAGAAGCGGCCAGCGAGATCCGCCAGCTGCCACATCAGTGCTGGAGGTCTTTCGACAAAGGCTGGATGGCTGCCCATCAGACGTGCTCGGCAAAGGGGGACCCAGGCCTGTGCAGGGGACTGGACAAGACGCCCTGGGCCTCCAGAGGGACTCCAGCCAGCAACTCTGCAGCCAGCTCTGCTACCTTCTCACTTCTGTGCCCAGCTCTGCTGTTGGCATTGAGAAGGCCTGGGGGAGGGGGCACAGCTTTGTCTCACGTTGGAGGGAGGAGCACAGCCGAGGGGCCCGTGGGGCCAGAAAGCAAGCCTGCCTCCTGCCTGTGTTTGGAAGACGCGTGTCTCCACTTACATCCAGGTGCTCGGTGGTCTCTTCCTCGAGCTCCTTGCAGGAGGGATGGAGGAGGCTGTACAGGATGGTGTCGGCCCCTTTGCAGTACAGAGTCAGCTGACCCTTCGGGTTTCGCACTGGAAACAAGGCAAGAAGGGCAGAAGGTGAGTCTGCGGCAGATGGAGCCCAGAAAAAGACCCAACCAGAAGCCCCCCTTCCTTGATCTCTCTTCCCTCACCTCGGGTGTTCCTCCTCCCCCCTCCAAGCCACCGAACAGGCCCCAGGTAGCCTATCTGAAAGGTCCCGGGCCTTCTGCACCGCAGACCGGTCGTCTGAATTGTTCCTCGCTAATTGCACCGGCACAGCACTGGCACGAGGGAAGGTCTGTACCCAGGGTTGAACCGTGGAGCCTTTGGTGCTCTCTGAGCCTAGGGGTTATCTCGCAGATGTTTCCTTACCCAGCTAGGCAACATCATCAGTGGAAGAAGGGAGTGGGGTTTGTAGGGAGGAGGAGCATAGGGCCCATGGCGCTCTCTTTAAGTTTGGCTGTTTCTTGCAGACGTTTCATTACCCAACTAGGCAACAACATCAGCCCTGACAATGCTACCTAGTTTGGCAATGAAACATCTGCGAGGAAACCCCCAAACTCCGAGAGCACCAAGGACCCCACTTGTGCATCAGACCAGGACCCCAGCAAGGTCTCGTGGTTGTGCAGCGTGACAGTTTCCGCTGTGACACGAGAAAACCTCTGGGCGGGAGGAGAGCTTGAGCAGAGTGTGCAGAGGGGGAAGGAAGGGAGACACACCAATGACGGACATCCTTTTGCGCACATTGTTGAAGTCCAGAATGGTCATCAGCTCATAAACCACCATTTCCCCCATTTCCACCACAGTGATGGTCGTGGGGGTGCGGGCGCGAAACACAAAGCCAAAGTTCCGGGCTGCGGTCACCAAGGCCCCCTCGTCCGGGGACTGGGCTTGGTACACCAACGTGCCTGTGGGTGAGGAAAGGTGCTGGTTGTTTTGCAAGCATGAGCCTCCCCTCCAGCCACCGTGCCCTCCTCTGCCAGCTCCGCCGTGCGGTGCAGCCTCACCCTCCTTCGTTTCTTCTGGCATCACCGTGTGGCAGAGGGAAAGGAGGCGGAAGAACGTGTGTGTGGACTCATCCCTGGCCTTCACCGCTTGGAGCAGTCTGCGGTCATAGAAGACAAACTTTGGGTCGGCCAAAGGATTCCACGAAAAGTCAACTCTGTCCATTGTCTGTGGAGGAAATAAGGAGGGTCAACCCCTTTTGCTCTGGGCTGGACATTCTCTGGACCAGTGGGGTGCAGTCAGGGGAGGCACAGCCCCACCGCTCTCATCATAAAAAGAAACAAAAATGTAAAAGGGAAAAGGCCTCACCGTGAATGACTGCCTAACTGTTTAAAAAAGCCTCTAAAAAAGCATCCTCTACTATGAGGCAGGAGAATTGCGTGCCTCATTTAGTCTGACTTTTTAGGCGTTTTATGATCGCTCGAGCACAGTTAAGCGAGGGTTAAAAGCAGAGGTGGGTTCCTACCAGTTCGCACCTATTCAGTAGAACCGGTTCGTCAAATCTACCGAACCGGTTAGAAGAGGTTCCACCAGTGGACCCGGAAAGCAGGCCACACCTACAGAAGAGGTTCCAGAATTTTTTGCAACCCACCACTGGTCCTTGGATATGATTATTCTACACCATCATGCTCCTATTTATAAAACTCAGGGCCTCTGTGAAAGGTAAGGATGACGACTGCGTTTGTGGTGCAATCAGAACATTGCGTGTGTTGACGTTGTTTTAACGCAAACCAAAGATGCCTTTTAAAAAACAAGTTTACATCCTATTCTTATGCAGGCCAGGGCTGTGTGTGTGAGGTAATTTAAGGTGGTTCTGACAAGTGTCGTTGGTATCTTCATATCCGGTCACATGGGCGGCAAGCCACTCCCATCCGGTCACATGGGTGGCAAGCCACTCCCACAAAGGAAGCCACACCCACAGAGTAGGTTCGAACAATTTTTGAAACCCACCACTGCTCGGCAATGGCACTCGAGTGTGGCCGTGCAGAGGAGCAGGGACCCTGGGAACAGGGCCACTGCAAAATACGGGGAAACGGAGTCCCCAGACTTGGCCTTCTGCCTGCAGCGTGGATGGCAGCCTGGAGGTCACTGCTGCTGGGATACAAGCAGCCCCGTTTGAGAAGAGGGTTGGTGGAGTGTCCCTTACCTCAATGTCCTCCACCAGGAATCCATCTGAATCCAGAGTACTTCCTGTGGGAGAGAAAGAGACTGGATGCGAAGGACGACCGGGGCTTCTGTGCCCCAGACACTTGGGGGGGGGGGGCACCTGGGCCTCCTTTTCTGTCCTGAAAGTCCAAGGCTTGGCTCCCCTCACTAGGAACGCCAAGACCAAACCACCCACGGACACCCCACACTCTACCCCTCATGCTGAGCCCACCCTACAGTCCCTCTGAGAACCTTCTCCAAAGGGCTGCATCCACCTCTTGGCCCTCCTTGAGCTGATCTTGGGCAGAGACGGAGGCCGGGTGGGGGGGCTGACTGTGCCTTGAAAGCAATAAGTCCCACTGTCGCAGAGTTCCTAAACATCGGAACGGAACCTGATTGGACTGCTCTCTTAGGGGGCAGGAATTGGCGATTGGCGATTACTTTCAATATACAATTTTCTCCAGAGCTTGTCTCATCTACGCAGCACTCAGGATCTCTAGCAAAAGTACCTTTTCTCTAAAACCTATGCAGCGGTGGGTGGTTCTGTGCTAGGGAGTAGCCAGGTAGAATATTTCCTTCCTGCCTGCCTGCCATTTTCTATGTCCTGCAAAAGGCCCTCGCCCCTTATCTCAAAGTGATTTTGGGGCCAGAGAGCCAAGAGTGCTTGGAGCAGATTGGGACACCCCCCCCCTCTCCCTTGCCCCCAGGAACAGGGGGGTGGCCCCAGAGCAGGCAAAGATCTGATGCGTTTCCGTCTTCCCACCCTCCCAGGAGATGCCCCTCCTTCCGTCTGGCCCCTCCTTACCGTAGAGCTTCCCACCGATGCAGCATTTGTTGAAGATCATAATGTTCTTAGTCAGGGTCCCCGTTTTGTCAGAGAAGATGTATCTGATCTGCCCCAGCTCCTCGTTGAGGGTGGTGGTGCGGGCCTGGGCGGGCATGTCGTGAGGAGGGTAGTACATCTTGTGGTCCCAGTCGATGTAACAGCTGTTGGCCAGGCGGATGATCTCAACGCTGGAGCAAAGGAAGGCACACGCTGGGTCCCTGGCAGGAAGGGAAGTGCCCAGGGTACACTCCCACCCTGGCAAGGTGATAGGATTCAGCCAGCCGTGCCTCCAGCTGCTGTAAGGTTATGCTAGAGCAGCAAGCACACACAAGTGGCAAAGGGTCACTGTTGGCCGTGGCTGAACTGGCATTGGTTCAGACGTGGGATTCAGCAGGTTCTGACCAGTTCTGGAGAACCGGTAGCGGAAATTTTGAATAGTTCAGAGAACCGGTAAATACCACCTCCGACTGCCCCCCATCTATTCTCTGCCTCCTGAGTCTCAGCTGATCGGGAGGGAATGGGGCTTTTGCAGTATCCTTCCCCTGCCACGCCCACCAAGCCATGCCCACAGAAGCGGTAGTAAACAAAATTGAATCCCACCACTGCATTGGTTCCTTTAGGAACGGCCCTCTGTGTTGAAGGGACAAGGCCCCGTGGTCTCTCTTCCTGCTCCCCGAGTCAAGTCAGGGACACCCCCTCAGGAGAGGCCTCACTTTGGCAGAGCCCTCCAAGGGACACCTGGGTTCCTGGTGGCTCCCCCAACTGAGCCTGCTTTTCAGAGCATCCCACCACAATGGCAGCTTGTCCGGGATAGGACCACTCCAGAAAGGGGAGAAATGCGTCCCGCCCCAGTTCTCCCTCAGACCACCAGGCCCAATGGGGTCTCCTTCCAAGATGGCTTGGGCCCTCAGCCACCACCTTACCTGACATAGAGAGAAATGGGCACCACGGTGTTGAGGATGATGACATAGGACCAGAACACAAGAAATGCAGAGAAAAATGAGGATTTGACATCCGTTGCCCAGGGCAGGTACACCTGGAACCGGTATCCCTGGTTGTATTCCCAGATGCAGTTGCCGATGGCCAGGATCAAACACATGATGCCCAAAAAGAGGAAGATCTACCGAGAGAGAGCGGGGGGGGGGGGTTGGGAGCAGCAGCTCAGATGGCAGAGGAGGACTTCCAAGTCTGGGCACCAGCCCCACCACCTTCGTCCAGAGCAGCCTTGACCCAAACCAGGCAGCCCTCCTCCCTCTGGGCGCCTGAGCCACAGCTGGGTGTCACAACAACTCAAAGGGTTAGAATAGGACATCCAATCCAGCCTTTTTGCTCAGGGACAGGGATGGATCCAGTGGAGCCTCTGCTTGAAGGCCTCCAACGGAGAGCTTCCTGCTTCAAAGGAGGGCTTTTCCCATTTCGTAGCTTGTGGAGGGCTGTAAAGCCCCGTGAAGCTATTGCTATTATTGACAGCTTCTGTGATTGGCCCTTTTTATTACATTGTGCAATAGTTTTATTAAAAATAAGCTGTCATAAGCTGGATTATTGTAATGCGCTCTACATGGGGCTGCCCTTGAAGAGTGTTCGAAGATTCCAGTTAGTCCAGTATGCAGCCGCGCGAGCGATT